CAATCCCTTCTCCTTCATTCTCCTCTCGGGATCTTGGGCACGCACGCACACGCGCCCGGCGTGAGTTTTAAGCCACCGGGTCCAGGACGCAAACTGCGGTCGACTACGTGGGAGTCCAGCAACATAGCCATTACGCTAACTGCTGGTCCCGAGAAGGCAGTTTTAATTAACTTATTTTTTAATTTGCAGAGGGTGTGTGGACTCATAGAAGAGAGAGAATGCACTCCCCATGGGAATGGTCACACCACAATCCCTTCTCCATTTCTCCTTCCTTCCTCTAGTTTGGGCATGACCACAAGCAGCTGGTCTGTCTGTCAAGTCACCAGGTCTGGGACTTGAACCACACTGTTTGGCAACACGGGATCTAGCTGCCCTAACTACTCTGTAGGCTGGTCTAAGAAAGGTATTATTTTAAAAAGTTAACATTCATCTTCACAGAGCCAGCAGATGGTGTGGTGGTTAAGGCACTGGACTCTCACATGGCAGACCATAGATCAAGTTCTGGACCCAGCAGCTTGAAAAATGCTACCAGGTGCATCTGTGTGCATGCCCCAAATCTGAAGAGAACGCAGGAGGGAGAAGGGACTGTGGTGTGGCCATTCACCCTGGGGTGGGGGTTATTTCTCATTTTCTCTCTCTCTCTTTCTCTGGCAACCACTAGTGCCCTATGACAAAAATCTAAAATCTTCACCTTTTGAACAAAAATGAAATAATCTGCTAAACTTTCAGAAGACATCAAATCCACTACAAAGGGGACTTTCAGGAGCCACCCAGTGGTGCAGTGGTTAAGGCTGCTGGGTCCTATAACCAACTGTGTAGTTAAGAGTCCCAGACCTGTGGCCTGAGAAACAGGCCAGACACACGTGCGCGGTTCCCAAATTCCCAAGAGAATGGAAGAGAAGAGACTGCCTGTAGCCATTCCCTCTGGGGAGTGATTTTTCATTTTCTCTCTCTCCAGAGACCGCATGCACCCTACATCAAATTTTTTAAATGGAAGGGAGGGAGTTCCAGGAAAGTTCAAGAGCAGGCCAAGTACAGTCATAGCTTTTTCCAGGGAAGTTCCAAAGATGAATTATTATAAATCCCAATGAAAACACTTCGCATCCAAGGAATTCCCAAGTACAAAAATGTGAAAGGAGTGCCCTCTCGTGGCAAAACAAGGTATCACGGTAGATTTCTGGCCAAAACGTGCTCCCTAAGGCCCTCTGAAAACCAGAAATAAGAAAAGCCAGGAGACAGAGACACAGCTGCCCATAGAGGGACAGGGCGAGGAGTCATTACCTTCCGCTGGATTCATGGCTGCATCGTGAAGTAATGTTGCCACACACCCAGCCGCACCTGCAAAAGAGAAAACAACTGCCACATGTACGGCCAAGAGAGGGGGTGACCAATTCACTGCGGCACCGGGCGAAGGTGGGGGGCGACTGTGCTAACCCACAGCAATGCCAGGGAACGTCCAGCCAGTTCGAGAGATGGGAACCAAGAGCCAATCCCAAGAAAAGAAGATACTGGTTCCCATCAACTTAGTAGGTCACCAATGTACATGCCACATCTACGCTAGGACGGCCAGAAGAGTACAAGGTTTTCAGTATTATTTGCGGATATTATCAATGGTGACTGAGAATAAATGCAGTTCTTGTCCCAGATAGGAAGCAGAGACACTGCTGCCCAGGGAGGCCAGCACACCCACGGCCACCGGGGGAGGGAGAACACAAGGGACAGGTGGTCAGATCTTCACCATAGACCAGCCTCCCCCAACTCAACTGCAAATCCTAATGGCGGTTTGCCTGGCCCTCATCCAGGTCCCTCACCCTCTGCACACTCAGCTTGGCCTTTAGACCATCCTACGCCCCAGGCTGCGGTCCCTGCCTTTACTTCCACACAATATCCAACTGCATGTTTCTCCCCTGGCCCTTCCCCATTCACTTGTCGAGGCCTTGTCATGTCTTCAATGACACAAAACTGCCTCTGGTCTGTTGGGATCCTGAAAAGGTGAGGCGAAGAGCTGAGGCTCCGTTAGTGTCTTCCTTGGACAGCTGGGTCACCTCCAATCCTGCCCTGAGGAGCAGGACACCACCCGACTATCAAGAAATATACAATGGGGGCAGTTCAGTGTGTCGCCGCGTTACCAGGGCATTAGAAGTTGAAGCCAGGGAGGAGATGAGAGGAAAAGTCAAGCTGGTAGGTAAGGGAGGAGACTGTAACCCTTTGTTGAGGTGCCCCGAAGGACGGGTGGGGTTGAAGCAGCCGTTGTCTGAGAACATCAGGTTGGGATGTCCCTCCCCTATGATCTGGCCTACCCCAGCCCAAAGCTTCAGCTCCAAACCATGCTGAGCCTGGAAGCACTGACAGCAGCAAAGCCCAGAGTTGGGATAGTGGGGGAACCAGCACAGGAAGGCTCAATACCATTGGCAATATGGCTATTGCCCCCAGGGTGGATTACGTCACTCAATGTCTTTTTTAATTTTTCGTAGCAGGCAAAATAGAGGGCGTGGGCAGGCCCCGCGCCCGTCGCTGTGACGTTCAGCCCCCGCATGGGCCTCCATAGGCCCTCGGTTCGTATAATCCTCCAGAGGGCCTCCAACACATTGCGATAGCGAGCGGCTGGGTCAGGCTGTAGACTCTGCATCCGGGTCTGAAAGTATAGCAAGGAGAATGCAATGTCAGCGATGCCAACGTCTCACCCTCCCTCCACACGCGGGCTCTGGGCACTGGGCAGACCGTCTACACAGAGCTGTGGTCGTTTGTGGAAGTGCTGCATCCAGTTTTACTTTCCAAACCTGTACCCAGTCTTTCCAAGTCTGGGATGGTTCAAGTCACCTGTGACCAAGAATGGAACATCATTATTTTCCCTGAGAATGTCACCAGGTGCTAAGTGTCCTGAAACTCCAACAAAATATTTCATATCCTGACAGTAAGTATCAAGTCTGAGTTTAAGAAGTTGCTCTTTGTGCCTTAGTAAGCTCAGACTATGAGTTCTTCACAAATGGATTCTGAAGTCAAATACTTCCGGTCTTTAACGTAACTACGCTTGATTTCGAAAGCCAGATCCTGGCCCTGCCTCCTGCCCACACACCACCCTGACTAATGAGGTGACGGCTCCTCTTTTAATACTCTTCCAGACTATTTGGCACTGCCAGCTGGGTCTGCATCTCGGTCTTGGCAGAAGTAGCATTTCTAATAGGTGCTGCTCTGATTTCCTGGGAAGAACATTTACCCTGAAACTGTGAAGTTGGGGAGTGCCTAATCTTTAAAACGGGAGGACCTTCCAGATTTCTAAGCAAAATGACCAAATCCCAAAATAGACACAAGCAAATAAAATCAGCCTTAGTGAAACATACTTTTCGGAATCTCTGGAAGATTCAATGATTAGGACAGAAAGTATGTGGTAGATATCTTGGATGAGTTTCCTGCACAAAGTTTTATTGAAATTTGGAAAAGTAATGTTATTTGAAACACTTTCCAAAATCACAGACCTTGTCTAAAGGGCATATCGCCTCTGAAAATCTCTCGTTTATTGAGCCATTTCAAGGCTAAAGTAGCATGAAGACTAATGATTCATATAAAATCGATGTTTAGTGCCTGGCACACAGTAGGCACTTAAGATTTGTTTGCTGGGGCCAGCTCCATGGCACAGAGGTAAAGCACTGTCAAGAGAAACCAGATCCCACATGGTGACCACGGCCGGAATCTTCTGCCTGATAGGCCTGAAACACACCAGACACGTGCGTGAGTGCCTCAGATCCAAGACGCTGGAGGACTGGAGGCAGGGAATGGCGCAGTACCAGCCCCTCCAACTCATGGACGGTGCTCATCTCTCTCTCTCTCTCATGTGCTGGTACACGTATGCTCTATCACGAAGAAAAGAAAAGTAAGACCTGTGCGCTGAATGGATGAATTTTTTGTTACACAGCTGTGTCCGCACCAGTTCAGAAAGTAACACGTACAGCCATTAATGAACAATGGAGGGAACTGACAGCAAAGTACAATTTAAATTCCTGCTTCATTCCAGTCACTCCATTCAGTTTGGGTTTAAAGCTGGCACCTTCCTGTTGGGCCAGCTGAAATCCAGGAGTAACGCCTTTTCTTGAGAGCAAAGGAGAAAGAAACTAACCAGATTAACAGGTCGGAGTTAGCTGCAAGCCAACTATTGGATATGTCTCTAGAGTTATTTTCTCCCGCTTGCTGTCAACACAAAACTGGACATTGGATGATCAGAAATACACAGTATTACTTATCACAATCGGACACATTCTTTTCCATTCTCCAAAAATCACCATGAATTTCCAACAGAGGGCATGCTAACTGGTCTTTCCCCATTACCCAAGGGGATAAAATCCATCGGAAGTTGTTCATGGGTCTATAGATCTAAGCTGGACCAACAACAATGATGTTCCCATCAGCTAGTTCAAAACTTGTCTTGTATGAGGGAATCTTCAGAATTATAGTGCTCTTCTAGAGTCAAAGGCATATTGGGCAACTAGTCTTGAAAGGTCTGGCCTCAGAGGCCTGGAATTCTTCACCTCCAAGAGAAAACTGGACTGTGGGCAAGCTCCCCCCCACCCAAAGATCTATTTATTTATTATTTTAAAATTTGACCAGAGAGAGAAAAATGGAAAGTGAGAAAGCAAGCCATCAGGACCAGGATCTGAAAACAGTTGGCCATGTGAGAGTCCAGCGCCTTAACCACCATGCCACCTACCAGCTCTTAGGTACATTACTTTGAATATTTTGCACACACATCTAAATATAACTTAATAATTCTAACTCAATGAATATTCTTCTATGGAGAAGGCCATTAGCTAATATAAAAATGAGTGTGGCTCCCTAAATTTGGAAGCCAATAAATCTATCCTTTGCAGAAAGAAGAAATCTCTTAAGTAGGAATTTATAAAAAGACTTCAATATGAAAAACCACTGCTTGGCTTTGAAGACTAACCAAACAAACTAGCAGAAAAGTAAGTGTCTTGGGAAAAGGTTAGCCATGTGTGAATTAGAAAACCAGAGTTTGAGCCCCAGCTTTGCTACATGTGTGGGCTTGGGCAGGTCACTTAACCTCTCTGAGCTTCCAAGTTGTCATCTATGATATGAGGCCAAGCAGACTCATAAGGCTGCTCATAGGGCAGTTGTGGGGATTAAAAGAGGTAAGGCATGGAGCCAGCCGTTACAGTGCTTTGGTTAAGTGCTGCGTGGAGGAAACCAGATCCCACACAGCCAACCACAGTGAATCTGGACCCCAGCAGCTTGAAAAACACGCAGGCATATGTGTGCTCATGACAGGATCCTGACGGGAGTAGACACAGAGGAAAAGGAATTGTGGCCATCAAGGGGGCACTTTTTCTCTCTCTCTATCTGGAATAAAAAATGAAAACAGGGGCCAGCAGGTGGTGTGGTGGTTGAGACACTGGACTTTCACATGGCTGACCACAGTTCGAGTCCTGGACCTGGCAACTTACTTTCTCATTTTCCCTCTCCCTCTCTCTCTGGTCAGATTTAAAAAATAATAATAATATGGGACCAGCAGGTGACATGGTGGTTAAGGTGCTGGGACTCTTACATAGCTAATCATGGTTCGAATCTCAGACTTAATGGTTCGCTTTCTCACTCCCCTACCCTCCCCCCATAAGTGCACGTGCCCTATAGCAAATTTAAAAAAAATAATAATACAATTAAATAAATAATTCTAAAAAAGAGAAAAATAATAAAATTTAATAAATATTTATTTAAAAAACAGAAACAAACAATAACAAAAATAAGAATTAAGGCAAGTAAAATTCACGGGTAATTTATAAAGGATTTGGACACTGGGAAGACCTTCTATATAGAAATATAAATACAAGACTTTTTATTATATTCAGATATGATTTTAAGATATATTTGTTTACATCTAAGAATTTACAGATCACAGTGGCATGTCTCATGTAAGTCATCTCACAAATATGAGTGTCTTCAAAAAGTTTATAGAAAATGTGTATTATGAAAAAAAACTGCAGGGATTTCAAAGCCCACTGCATTCCTTTGCACCAAAAGTAATTTGTACTTAAACTCCATTTTCGGAGTCCTCTCGTATACATGGGCAACTGGTCATAAAATATTCAGCTATTTTTTAAAAGAGATTTTTGCTATAGAGTGTGTGTGCTTGCTGGAGACACAGAGACAGAAAGTGAGAAATCACCCCCCCACCACTACTCCTGCAGGGGGAATTGTCACGCCACAATCCCTTTCCTGCATTCTCCTCTCAGGATTTTGGGCATGCACGCACACGCACCTGGTATGAGATTTAAGCTGCCAGGTCTGGGATTCAAACTGTTGTCCACTATGTGGCAGTCCATGGACATAACCATTACACTATGCGCTGGTCCCATCAGCTATTAATCGTAAGGTCATATGTTCAGGGACAAGCTCTACTGTGAAATTCTGTGTCTTGCTTGGTGTCTGAAATCTGCTTTTGGGGGCTATTCGGAAAGCTTGAGCGTCACACCCATTCAAATCACGGGCCGCCACTTCAACTCTTGTGACCTTGGACTAGGTACTTAACTCTGTCTCCTTTCTTCATCTGTAAAACAATAAAAATAGTGCCTACCTCATGAACTTGTTTCCGGGATTAAGTGAATAAGTGAATGGAAGACACTTCGAATAGTGCTTGGCACACAAGACCTGGCATTTATTGAATACTTATTATTATTGGAGGCAAAAAAGCCAATGAGCCAGTGTTTTCATTTCCTAACCTTTCCCCAGTGAATGTGTACACGTAACTACATACACCAGGAGTTTGGAAAATACTTACCTCCTGCTGCTCTATCCTTATTATGTAAGTAGCTATTTGCTTCACCACTATAGGGCCAAAAACAGGACCTTGGTGACGGGTGGGTTCTTAGCCAGTGACTCTGAGAGGGGCTGTGATTGCCTCTGATTGCAGAGTCTGTCCATATAGATACAGGCTGGCACTTGCCAGAGAACCCAGAAAAAAACACATGTAATCATCTGGTCTCCCAAACCTCCCTATTATAACCATGGAAAAATAGCTGGCTAAAAAACTATGGCTCAGCAAGGCTATGCTGACTTCCCCTGGTCCCTCCCAAGGATATTTTAAGTCAACTTGACCCTGATAAGTGCCTGGGGATGCACCCAACGACATGCCAAGAGGCAAAATCAGTTTTCGTTTGCAAACATTGTGGTTGCTGTTTAGGCGGCAACGTGAATACCTGCCTCCGATCTTAGGGTAAGGTGGGGCTGCTTTTCTTCCCTAAAATCTGTTCATGGTAAAAGAAGAGCAACCACAGGAGGGGTGAACTGGAAGCCCCTTCTGAGAGAAGGGATCTGAGTTTTATTTTCTTGTCTGCAGAAAAGGGTTTTACACACTCCTACTGCATTATACTGATCTAACCTAGTTCTTTTTACTGGTCATTTAATCTCAGCATTAATGGCAAATGAAAACGATTCTCTGAAAATAAGATTTTGTGGGTTTTTTGTTTTGTTTTGTTTTGGTTTTGTTTTTGTGAAGACTCCTAAGTCTTCTTCCTTCAGACTAAACCATTATTTCTTTAATATAGGCCTTTGAGGCATGACTATAATGTGGTATGAATGATTTTTAAAAAAACAAAAATTCCAAGTGATGTAAATGAATAAGAACTGTTCTTCAAAGTAGTTACCTGAAAGGCTAGAAGTGACTTATTCCAGCAATACTGTGGTTATACAAAACATTGCTGGAATTCTTCTTTCAATTCATATTTTATTCTGAATGGTCTCCATAACTAAAAAATCAATTCCATCTTGTCACAGTACAAAGATCTGTCCCTATTAAAGATATGCAACCAAACTTTCTTTTCTTTTCTTTTTTTTTTTTTTTTTTTTGTGGTTTTGGCTACAGGGTTTTTTGAGGTTTTCGCTACAGGGCGCATGCGCTCGCCAGACAGACAGAGAGAGACAGAGACAGAAAGGAAGAAATCACCCCCAGGGGGGATGGTCACGCCGCAATCCCTTCTCCTCCATTCTCCTCTTGGGATCTTGGGCACGCACGCACATGCGCCCCGCGTGAGTTTTAAGCAACCGGGTCCGGGAAGTGAACCGTGGTCGACTACGTGGGAGTCCAGCGACATAGCCATTACGCTAACTGCTGGTTCCCACAACCAAATTTTCTAAAGGCATCTCCAACACTGTACAACGTTTACATCGACAATGGCATTATGTGACTATACAGAGTACGGAGATGGCCTTCTGTGATGCATAATGGAATGACAGATAGGTTGTAGTAATATTCCTAAGGCAGTCACATTATTTCATTGTATTTTTCAAGCCATTAAGTAATTTTTATTACTTTCACTGGTCTGTTTTTCATTTGATAGACATCCTAAAACAAAGCACCTTAGACCTACGCTTTGCTCCCAGTCCAAATACAGTAGGTTACCTTGCAGTTAGATCATATTAATTTTTGGCCAAACAATATTATTAACTCAGTCATTCAATCTACAAACTGGTAAATAAATGACTGAATCTTTTTTATTTGCACTGATTCATTTTACATTTCAGTATTGTTACTTCTTTTATAGATTGTACTGGTTGTTTCTATGTTTCCCATTTAATGTCATTTTAGTCAAGTGCATTTGCCATTTTTCAATGGGCAGGGCCCTTGTTAGACACTACCTAGAAATACGCTAATACACCCCTGCCAACTCAATGTCATTCACAAAATTTAATAAGCACTTTCCCCATTTCCTCATCCACATTTTAATGAGAACATGAAGTGGTACTGGAATCCTAGGAAAGGAGAAGAGCTCTACTTTGCATCTCCTCCTTTTGAATATATAACATTTTACAAATCTGAGAAGAAAACATACACCTAAGAGCTGCTGGGATGTGGTTACTGTAACACATAAAGGAAGCACCAATCTCAACAGATTTACTTCTCATTCACATTAGTCCTCACCTTAGGGCATGCACACCTTTACTGATGTACAAGACTAAGAATTGTGGGCAGGCAGGTGGCATGGTGGTTAAGGGCACTGGACTCCCACATGGCTTACTGCAGTTCCAGTCCTGGACCTGGTGGCTTACTTTCTCACTTTCTCACTCTTTGTCCCTCTCTTGTCAAATTAAAATAAATAAACAAAGTTAAATAAAAAATAATTCTTAAAAAGAAAAAAAAGAGTAAGAATTGTAACAGTAACTGACTCCTTCACCCAGCTTTTTTCAGAACACCTGACTTCTGTATCTGTTAGTCACCCTGCAGAGCTGAGCATGCAATTAGTTTTACTTTTATGTGAACTGAGCCATTAAGTAATTGTTACTGCTTTCCCTGGTCTGTTGATCTCATTCCACTTTCTTCACACATCTACTTTCTAGTATGGTCACACTTCCTTTCTGGGCAACTGTTCCCTTTTTGTCAACTTCAGGTGGTCAAAGAAATGTATCACCAGTTTCATCTCTCTCCTGGGGGGGCTGACATGCTCATACACAGTCCTAATCCCAGCTCAATTTCCACATTCAGGAAATAGGTGGGGTATCATGCTTGGTTTACAGAGAAACCGAAACCTTTTCCTGAAATCCATTTTTCCCATGTTGTCTCCAGTCTAGAACTCCGGATTCTGACTGCACAATGATTTCCGATCACTCATGGGTTAAGATTAGGTCCTCTATCTGAGAGATCCCAGATTCGGGCTCCTGCCCCTTCACTTTGAAGGCACGACACAGAAAGGAGCTTGTAAAAGCCATCGCCCAGAGAACATCTCAAGCCATAAGATCCGATTCAGAATCCGATTCACGACAGCTGGCTTCACCTTAACCGAGTTTGGAGCACTTACCTGTGCTTCGGGATACCTATCCATCCCACCCTATTCCTTTTTAGTCCTAGGCGGATCCAGGTCTCGTGGCTGACAGATGTGCGATCCTGAGTCCCGATTCAGATCTCACTGACGGGTAGAAACAGGTCCTGGTTCCTGACTAGGATCAACTCCCAGTTGGGACCTTGCTTGCATGGAGTATCGTATCGGTTCGAATCATGTGGTACTGGCAGGAGCCAGGAAGGAACCGGTATCGGTTCTAGATCTCAGCTGGGATCCTGGCTCCGGACAGGACTCAGGGGTCGGGTCAGCCCCAGGTCAGGTTCGGAGCCCGGTCCAGGTCTCACCTTGACGCAGTCGATGGGATACATCACGCAATGCTCCAGGATCCCTGCCACGGCTCCCGC